ACCACCATACCCAGCTAATTTTTCTATTTTTTGTAAAGACAGGGTCTCCCTCTTGCTCAGGCTGGTCTTGAACTCTTGGCCTCAAGCTATCCTTCTACTTTAGCCTCCCAAAGATTACAAGCGTGAGGCACTGCATCCAGCCCCTTTACATTATTATTAAGATATTACGCCATTCTTTAATTAGGTAATTTTCTAAGTGGGAAGTGGGTCCCTTTGGTGAAGCTGAGGTATCTTTTCTATTTTCTCTAACTTAGGAAAATATTTAATATATAACAATATGTTAATATAAAAAGAAAATACAAAGAAGTACTTACGTATTATAGCTATGAATATAAATCTTATGAGCTGTCATTTGTTGCAGTGAAAAAACATGAATTATCATTCGGTGAAGTATATCACTAGTTTCTGCAAAAAACTGGTCAAAACCCCAGCACTTTTCCTGATCTGCTTCAAGAATATTTGCAAGAACAGGGGTAAGTAGAACCTGAAGACCCCTAAAATAGTATTGAAAAAAATTAGTTGGAGAGTGACTATATTTTGTCCAGGTACAAAATCGTATTTACCAACAAATCAAAGGAACCACTATTATTGTTACATTAATTTTAAAAAATTAAAATCTATCAACTTTTCAGAAAGCCAGATAACCTTCATTTAATATCACTTGTCGATGAATCAAGGACTATGACATTTTTATGTTAACTTATCTTTTACTGATTTTCTTTGATTCTCCTTTCCAAGTTTCCTCACTTTCCAAAACACATCATAATATTGTATACTCATGGCTATCCAGGTGAGATCAGTTGACTGGAGCCAGATGGTCATGAGGATAAGGTGGGGTCTCGTGTTGTGGGAGTGCAGTGGCTCCCTCACAGGCACCATCATAGCACTGTGGCCTTGGACTGCTGGACTCCAGGGATCCTCCTGCTTCAGCCTTCAGAATAGCTGGGACCACAGGCATGTGCCATTATGCCTAGCTTTAATGTCCTTTTAATATAATCCTTAATATATAATTTTATATGTTGAATTTATATGCCTTTAGTAGTATACTTCACTTGATCTTGGCCAAAAGGCCAAGAAGCAATGTAGTATACTTCTTTAGGAAGTAAAATTACTATAATAATCTAGCAATTAAAAGGTTACATACTTTTTAAAAATGTGAGTGGAAGGACCTTTATTCTTTACAGCTTTCATAAAGACTGTTCAAATAGACTCCTAATTATGGAATTTCAAACAGTCTTCAAAATACACATTTGGCTATGTGACAGACACTGGAATAATTCCTTGTCTGTTAACAGTTTTTAAAGTATATGGTGGATATTTTTTATTTTTGCCTAATAGGTGTTCATTTTCCCTCTTTTTTTTAACAGTCTCCAAACCTCTCCACTCTCTTACCACCACTCCCTGTGCACAGATGGACATGAGAGCCAAGTTTGGTTATTATGATTACTTGGAGGTGGCCAGGTGGTAGCACTAGTTAGTTCAATGAGAATCAACCCAGAAATCTTTGCTAAAACGATTGGGAAAAAGAGTCTTTCTTACCACTAAGCTTTCAAACCTGAGAGAATGTTAGTCTTGGAATGCCAGCAGCCATCTTGTGGCTGCCAGGAAAAAGTCTGACTGAGATTGAAGAAAACTCAGAGAAAAACAGATCTGAACAATGGAAAGAGAACAAGTCTTGATGACACAGTCTCAGTGCAAGGATTCACCTGGGCTTTAAGTCATATACACATGTGAACTTTTAATTACAAAGTCAATCTATTTCCTTTTTCACTTAAACCAGCTGCATTAGGTTTCTCTCACTTGCTGTCCAGTCTTGACTAACACATATAAGAAAACAGTTTTTTTTGCAGCCCACTTTATAGATAGATAGATACAGATACTTTAAGAGATGGGTCTCACTACGTCACACAGGCATGCTCATAGCATGCTGCCTTGTGCTCCTGGGCTCAAGTGATCCTCCCACCTCAGCCTCGGGGTAGCTGGGACTACAGGCATGCACCACTGTGCCTGGACTCATTACTGTTTTAGTGGCTGTTTTCATTGCTGACTTACAGTACCTAAAGTCCTTGCTATTTAAAACAAAAAATTTTATATAATACACTTTCTGGTACCTACCCAATTTCTATCAAAGAATTTACAACTTGGTATGCTAAAGACTGATTAGATAGATAAGGCCTGTTACCCTCCAGAAATACACTGTAGTTCAGATCATCAGGTATTATTGATTCTGAGTTTCAGCAATATAATTATTAATCAGCAAGTGTTCATTTCCTGATTTCCTTACATTTTATCAGTTTTGGCTGAGATCCCTAAAGGGAGTATTTCCTAAATCAAAATTTAACACAAATCACTATAATCGTCTTAAATTTCTGCTCTCCAATACAATGAATTTCTCTTAGTAATCTAGTTGCATGATGCATTTTATTCTGGAAACTTTTTTAAAAAACACCACACACACAAAACTATTAGAACAGTGGTTTTTGCAGTAGTAGTAGAACTCTTGGTTTAAATTAATTTTCATAGAATCCAATACATAAAATGATAAAGTGGTATTTTATTAGCTTGCTTTATATATTTACGTATTTATGTGTTGAAAATAATACAAAAAGCACTCACAAGAGGTGCTAAGCCGATACCTCATAACCTATGTCCACTTGTGGATTATATAACTACCACACTTAAGAAAATTGGAAGTTAATTCAGTAATCACAAATCCTATATATTGATGACTGTCTTGGCTTTATTTCCAGAGTGAAATCTAAAATGATTTACTTTCTACTTTTAATTTCTTTTACCTTAATTCTTTCTTTGTGATAACAGGATTCTTATCTGACTATAATTTTCTTGAGTTCTGGCTGCTGAATCAATCAAGACCCCCATGAACATCTGAAATGCTGGAAAAAGTACTAGAAAACTACTATGTCTCACCTTTTGGATAATTTGAATATTTTTAAAAAATGAGGATAATATTAAACTTCTTTATGTTTATTTTTTACAGCTCCAAATGAGAAATTTATTCTTATCTAAGCTAGTTTTTGTGGTCCATCAATATGGAGGTTATTATAAAAGATACCAAGGTCCTGAGTGGGACCCCCACATTGGGAAGAATTCCAAGATCAGTGATTAGCAATCTCAAAAATAAATGCCCTGTGCCTTAAAAGAGATCTGGGGAAATTATTTATATAGCTCAGAATACATCTTTTCATCACCACAAAGGCAAAAATCCCGTATCAAAGCATATGCTTTAACAACATCTAGTTAAAATAAAATCAAAGTACACTTCAGTATTTGAATATTTGTGATTTTAGGCAATGAAGATTTCAAATACCACACGGCAAAAGACAAGAATTAGGTACACGATACTTACCGAGAAAGACTACAAGAAACAGGCATGTCTCCACTCCAGTCAATTGGTCCATTTTCTGCTTTCTGTACTCCAGATATTGCACCAGAAGGCTTTCCAGTAATTATTTTATACCTTGGGAGGAATAAAAGCAGAATAAAATAAGCAGTTTACTTTGCATGGCTTATTAACGGGCTTTGCAAAAATATTTCCTCAATTGCACCTACAATTATCTACTAGACGAAACTTTGTGATTGATGTTCACAGGATCCATAAAACAATCAAAATACTCTGAATCTGACTGACTGAAGTAGAACAGTGGTTGTACGATTATTTTATATATGCCATAATTAATTTTCATTGGGGATCTCAGAGTGCCTTATAACAGCATCTTGATGTTCACAACAAAAATATTAATTTTCCATCTGAAAAAATCGAGCAAACACAAAATAAGTTATGTCACAGAATGTTTCTAGATCATGAAGAAAAGCATCTAACTCCTCTTATCCATATTATCCAAAGGCACAACTGGACTACAAAATTTCTACAGAAGGAACAATATCATTCTTTAAAAAAAATAAAACTGTATACAACTATACAGAGCACAGTATCAGTCTTTGAATATTGAAAAAATATATACACATACAGGAATAGAGACATGTACCAAAATTATAAGCCAAATTTAACTTGATTTCCGATGAAGATGATAAAGATGAATGGAAGACAGAAAGACTGGGAAGTAAAAGAATACTACAGTGACATAGCAAGTCAATGAAAGCAGCCTTTTAGGTTTTGGCACTTTCCTAAACAAAAGCTAAATGTAGGAGAGAAATAAGAGAGTTTCATGCCTTCAAGAATACTTTCACCCACATGAAAATGTAAAACATAATACAGGATAATCTTACATAAGCTTACAGATATTATTTCTGGCAGAATTTTCATTTAATGTCTAAACAAATATGCTCTAAACAAATCAATATGTTTTTTTAAAAAGTAGAACAAGCCAGTTATGACTGATTTAGACTGTTTGCTGCTTCCTCAGTGGAGGCAGCCAGGATTTCTGCGTTTTTCAGAGAAGAGAAAATTAATGTGAACAAGAAGGCACATTTATGTGGGAAGGACTGACTAAGGAGGAAAAAGTGGAGATATGTGAGATTAACGCATAAGAGAAGTGAATAGGATAAATGGTAAAATTCTTAAAGGAATGAAAAAGTTTAAAAAATTTTGATAAGATCCACATATAAACACGTTCACAAGATGCAAATGAGATGCTGAGGGATCAACACTGCTATAACTGAGAGACGATTGTATCATTCATAGTAAAGTGGGACAGTAGTTATTGCTGACTACTTCAAGCACCTCTGAATATTCTTTAGCATCATTGTTAACAAGTTGAGTTTCTGTGCAAATAAAAATAAATTCTTCTAAATGGTGTCTCTGTCCATACGTGGGTATATCTGCCTACATATATCTAATACAAAATCATCAGGTATTCCTAGTTGCTTATGAGTCATATGTTTCCTTTATTAGGGAACATCACTGCTTTGATTTAATCCATTTTTGGGGCAGCAAGAAATGCTGATATCACTTTAAAACATACTTATGATTATAAAGCAGCTTTTGTTAATGAAGAAATTTCATTAACAGGGCACTGCTGTAAAGCAGGCTAAACATGATGCTATACCCAAATCATCAGTATAGTTAATGTCTTCTTCCCAGGAAGGGTACATTATCCTTGCTGGAAAACATTTTGATACCTAAAGCAAAAGTCATTGTATCATCTGAATTTGTTTTACTTCCTCAGATGGACACATACACACAAATCTCCCTCAATTTTCTGAGATAAGATTAGATAACGACTGTATTTTTACAGTTGTGATTACTACTTTAAGTCATGTTGCTTGTAAAAGGCAGGGTCAAATATATAAAGGTATGAGAAATATGTTAAGACATAAAATAATGGTTGGACAGGTTAGGCTGTCAGTAAGCTGTTGCCCCAAACCAGTCAGTAAATTAAACATTCATCACCTCATAGTTTTATGTGTACATAAGTTGGCTGTTTCTCAAGAAGCAAGGTCATTTACTAATTTCTTTTAAAATAAAAAGAAGTGTGGTCAACATATGGATAACTTTCATAAAAAATTTCACATCTAGAAATTCACCTCTCTTTTCCTTGGTTTTAAAATAAGTAATTTTATACCCAGTAATTATTTCCAAATAATTATGGAAGTATATAAATATTTCTGTTTTACTATACAAGTAAAATAAACTCGGTCTCTGGTCTGAATTTGCAACACTAGCAAAAAAATTTATGTTACATTACTGCCAAAATGTTATTTTTAAAATGGTAAAAAACTCAGATCAGTTCAGGGTAAGACTTGTATTTCTGTTAGATCTGGTAATGGTTCTAGTACTCCACAGAATGTATTATTTTTTTCAGTTGTATGGAGGAAAAATGCTGACAAGTACACAAAGGAAATAAACAGTGTGCTGAAATAAAATCCAGAAAGTAGTATATTTTTAATGACGGACCAAAGACTGGATACCATTTACTTTGTATGTAAGATATTTAAATACCTTTAATATTTAAATTTTCCATTAAGGAATTTTCCATTTCCTTAAATTATGCCTATACACTTTTATAAGGCTGCATAAAAACCAGATAGCTTAAAATATCAGAAATCATTGCTAAACTAACTTTTATCAGTGTACACCACTAACATGATGAAACAAGAGAGATACATTTTAAAAATTATTTCTAGTTTTAGATGGACAAACCACTTACATCACTTCTTTATTCCTACGAGGCCCTTCGAAGGGTCTAAATGGCAGTGATCCAGTGGCTGCATGGTAAAATGTTACCCCAATGCTCCAAAGATCAACTGTTGCTCCGTATTTCTTCTGATGATCTTTTCTTAGCACTGCTCTCTCATACATATCAGGATGCTATGATTAAAAAAAAAAAGATGAAAAGACTATGAACTTACAACCCACTGTAAGACACTGCACAAATGGGTACTAATAATGCTTGGACATTCTATTGTGTCTTCCCAGTAATTTTACTTTCCCTATTGGAAAAGACTGTCTCCCATCTTCCGCTCTCTCCTCAAACCTTGAACACCACCTCCTTTGACCCTCAGTTTTGATATCCTCACTTCACACTTCAGTTAGGAAACGGAGGCAATCACATCAACTCTCCTTTATGCCCTTTACCAAATACCAACCCACCTGAATTGTGTCCATCTTCCAGGCCTACATTCCAGTTACAATGGAACTGCTACTATCGAAGGCTAACTTTTCCATTTGTGCTGTGGAGCCCATCATATCATCTCACCAATTCCAGAAATCAATGCTTGCAATTATCCCATTTATTTTATGCATCAATTGTCCCCCTCCCCCTCCCCCCGATCATTCCTTTCTGCTTACAAATATGCTTTAGTATCTCCCATTAAAAAAAAAAAAATCCTAAATTGACCCCACAAGCCCTTTCAACAATCACCCAATTCTCTGTTCCTCCTCATAGCAAAACTCCTCAAAACAGCCGTCTACACCTACACCACACCTACGCCTTACTTCCTCATCTCCATTCAGGCCTATTGCATTAAAGTATCATCTATACACTTTAACTTCCAAAACAGGAGACACTACATCAGAGTTGCTGAGAACAGATGGATCTTCTAAGAAATAATTTAGGTGCTTACAGATCCAGAGAGAGATTCTGACGGACATTTAGCTCTGCAGAGAATAACCAGTGGTCACACATGCTTAGCTTCCTGACATCTGCCTTAATGGAGTTATGCACTGGCAACGTGAAGATTCTTGGAAGAGGCCGGGCATGGTGGCTCACACCTGTAATCCTAGCACTTTGGGATGCAGAGGCGGGAGGATCACTTGAGGCCAGGAGTTTGAGACCAGCCTGAGCAAGAGTGAGACTGTCTCTACAAAAAATAGAAAAATCATCTGGGCATGGTGGCACACGCCTGTAGTCCCAGCTACCTGGGAGGCTGAGGCAGGAGGACTGCTAGAGTTTGAGGTTGCAGTGAGCTATGATGACACCACTGGATTCTAGCCTAGGCAACTGAGCAAAACCCTGTCTCAAAAAAAAAAAAAAAAAAAAAAAAGATTCTTGGAAGGTAAAGCTTCAAGGATGTACTATGGACCAAAAGAGAGAGTCACCACTTCAATGAACCCAAATCAGAACAATTCCCTATGATATTGTGAGATTTAGCTACAGCCTAGGGAACTGGGACCCAGTGCAGGTAACACTGCTGATAGGGGCTACTAAATGATGCAGTCTATGAATGTGATTTCCAAAGGGTCATAATCTCTGATTTTTTGGGGGAGTGGGGATGGAAGGAAGAGTCATTTTAATAAGAAATTAGAAGTGGAAATAAGCATGATAAGACCTAGGCTTTGAAGTGAGTGCCCAAACATATGCCTATCAGACTATTGTTCAAACAAGCAGGAGCCTAACTTTTGACCTAGCAGTTGGTATTAAGTGTATAAATGGTGCTGTGAATAGGCCAAGAGTGGACATGCCTGTTATCTTCTGGAATAAGGCCGCCAACCTGGGAAGAGGAGATACAGAAATTCTAGAAGGAGACAAAGGAGGACAACATCAAATGGTGCAATATACTGCCTAATTGGTACAGTTGGAAGCTATTCCCCAGGGAGTGACTGAGCACAGTGGCTTGACACACGATGGTCTGACATATTTGTGCCCACTGGCTCTCTTGAATGTGCCACTTGTGCCTGTGTAGGGCTTGGTATTACTGCATCTGGAATAGGATAAAGTACTCCAGGGTTTTCAGGATTATATTATTGAAATGATACCCATCATATTAAAAATGGTAGAAGAAAGAAGTTTGTTTTCTTTGAACTTCAACGAACAAAAAAGAGAGGATTTAATCTGGCTCGAGAATTCCTAGGAACTTCAAAATGAGAGAGGTTTTCATTTAAATATGGAATATTTCTAGATTGCTGAGCTTTAGACTATTTTATCTCATTTTATCTCTGGTACACTGTATTTAAAAACAGGAATGTCTGCCTGGCTAGCTCAGTCAGTAGGGCATGAGACTCTTAAAAACAGGGCTAAGTATACTCTAAAATAAGAAATAAATAGGTAAGAGTTAAATTCAGCCTAAAGCACATTATGGACTCGGAGTTAGTTAGTTTTTTTGAGAGAGGGTCTCACTCTGTCACCCTAGGCTGGAATGCAATGGCACGATCGTAGCTCACTACAGCCTCAAACTCCTGGGCTCAAGTGATCCTCCCACCTTAGCCTCCCAAGCAGCTAGGACTATAGGCGTATACCACCACACCTGGCTAATTTTTCTTATTTTTGTAGAGATAGGGGTCTCACTATGTTGCTCAGGCTGGTCTTGAACTCCTGGCCTCAAGTGATCCTCCTGCCTCAGCCTCTGAAAGTGCTAGGATTACATGTGTGAGCCACTATGCCTGGCTCTTTATTTAATGTTTTGCTCTTCCCAATTTAAAAATCTGTTAGAGTCAAAAACTAAACTGTGGTCCTAGGAGGTTAAATGAAAGATTAATAGTTGTTATTGGGGGAGCAGCCTCATGAAGGCTGGTCTAGGACTGCTTGTTTGTTATTGAGAGACATCTTGCAGTGTATATGACAGTTTTGAAAAATAATCTTCCCACATCCTGAATCACTATGAATATTCTACCAGATACTTGTGCAGGTGAGAAATCTAACTCCATTTTATATATAACAAAGTATTTTTGTACAGTTTTTCCAAGAATGTAAATGTATTTAAATCTGCTTTATTTAGTTAGAAATTTTACCAAGAACCATTCACTACTTTGGGAAATCATATCAACAATACCACCACTTCTGATGTGTGATTCACTAATATAATTTGCAAGTTATTACTACACTTGTATTCAAGGTGATAGTACATATAGGTGCAAGCATAAATGACTACTTAATTTGTTTGCTGGTAAAGTTGTTCCTAAACTTTTATATATCAAATACTTATTATGAGATATTTTCCTTAGCATAAGAGACCTGTTAGTAAGATTAAAAAAAAAAAAAGATATTTTCCTTTACATTATTATTATTTTGAGACAAGGTCTTGCTCTGTTGCCCAGGCTAGAGTGCAGTGGTGTCATAGCTCACTGCAACCTCTAACTCCTTGGCTTCAGCGATCCTCCTGCCTCATCCTCTCCAGTAGCTGGGACTACTGGCATGTGCCACCACGCTAATTTTTCTACTTTTTGTAGAGATGAGGTCTCGCGAAGTTGCTCAGACTGGTCTCGAACTCCTGGCCTCCCCAAATGCTGGAATTACAGACGTGACCCACTGAGCCCGGCCTCTTCCAAGAATTTTTAACAAACAACTCATAGCACCCTTAGAAACCAATACCTAATTCCCTTGTTACATACCATATTCATTAGAATAGAAAATTTAACTTTTGTCATAAAAATAATGACATTTTATAGATAGCGAGCTGGTTGACCAATTACCCAATTATATTTGCAATATATTAAGCTTCCTTAAATGAAATTACTGATGTATGACTTACCAAATACTCTTCTGTGCCATACAGAGAGACAAACTGCTCATCATCTTCTAATTCTCTAGCTGCACCAAAATCTGTGAGTTTGTACACAGACTGTCCATCCTCCCCTATAACTCGCATGATATTTCCTGGCTTGATATCACGGTGCACTATGCCATTCTCTCGAAGGTGATTCATTCCACCCACTTCAAAAATAAATATAAAATAAGAAATCATAATGTAGGTATCTATGTGTATGTGTGCACATCTCAAATTCATTGACATAATACATGATAGTCATTCAAACTTAAGTTTTTTCATATTTTGTTCAAAGTCATTTTGCTCAAAGAAGTAACAGATGATACATATATATTTTATATCTCATGTTTCACTTATAAGGAGTTTTAGGATGATAAAAATCGATATGGTCTAATGATCTCTCTTAAATCTAAAATTTAAATCTTAAATCTCTCTTAAATACTATTATGAAAATGTAACAAAATGGTCTTAAGCATATGGTTTCTTGAATTACTTTTGGTTCCGTATGTGTAGGCAATCTGTGTAAGAATGATAAAGATTCCCAAGGAAGACAGCAATCTTTCATCGTAGTTATACATTTCTTTATCTTGGGAAAAAAATTCCACAAAAAGTAAAACTGGACTCAATATTAAGGTCATTAAATATGAAATGTCTGATTTCACATTATCAGATGTTTAGTTAGAATTAAACTCAGTTTAGTTTATTATATCTCAAACAAAAAGCAGTACAATTAATCAAAGTATGAGCCTAAACTGTGAACACAGTTTTGCCATCTTAACAGTAACTTGTTTATGCCAGCAGCGAAGAAGCCTGGTGAACAAGTGGCGATGAAATCGTGAAAGGCATTTCCACAGCCTGTTGAGAACTGTATATTTTTCCTTGCAAGAAGTGGTCCAAAGCCTGGAAGAAGTAGTAGTCAGTTGGTGCAAGGTCTGGTGAATATGGTGGATGACAGAGAGTTTCTAAGTCCAGCCTCTGTAGTTTGAGCAGCGTAGTTTATACGACCTGTGGTAGAGCGTCTTGCAAGAGGATTGGCCTGTCTCCATTGACTAATCTTGGCTGCTTAATCGCAGTATCCTCATCATTTTGTCCATTTAGTTGCAGTAGACATCCGCTGTAATCAACTGACCAGGTTTCATGAAGCTGTAGTGGATAATACCAGTGCTGGACCACCAAACAGACACCATTAGCTTTTTTTGATGACTATTCAGTTTTGGACTGTGTTTCGGCACTTCATCTTTAGCCAACCATTGTGCTGAACACTTGTGATTGTCAAAAAGAATCCATTTTTCATCACACATAACACTATGGTGTAGAAATGGTTTGCCTTTATGTCATGACAACAAAGAAAGGCAAGCTTCGAGATGATTTCTCTTCTGATGCTTGTTCAATTCCTGTAGAACCCATCTATCCAGCTTCTTTACCTTGCCAATTTGTTTCAAATGGTCCAATACTGTTGGAATAGTAACGCCAAATGTTGCTGCCAATTCACGCATAGGTTGAGATGAATTTGCTTCCACTATAGCTTTCAGCTCATCATTATCCACCTTGGTTGCCCACACGGCACATTTTCAAGATTAAAATCACCAGAATGGAACTTCTCAAACCATCGACATACTATGCATTCGTTAGCCACATCCTTCCCAAACACTTCATTGATATTTCCAGTTGTCTGTGCCTCATTGGTTCCATGATGGAACTCATATTTGAAAATCACATGAATTTTTGACTTATCCATGGTTTCACAAAAATTGCTCTAAAAAAAACTTTGAAAGATAATCACAAGCTAAACCATGTGTTTGAAAGAATAAGGATGTACCTTCACAATAAAAACAAGAAGCGTCAAAGTGAAATGTTAGCGATATCAACTGTCAAACTTAGTACTTAAGGAAATTGGACATTTCATACTTAATAACATAATATAGATATATAAAATATAAGTAACAGCAAGAGGGCAAAGTATCTTGTTTCCATAAAAATGTATTTCTCAAATGCTTAGAATTACTCCAAAAGCCCATTTTTCTTTTTTTTCTTCAAGGGCAAAGTGGTGAAATTGCTGAAATTAAGCTTGTTTTGGCCACATGAAAGGCAGTGTCACAGAGTGATATAATAATTTGAGACATTTGTTTGACAGCAGATTGATCAATGTTCAAATTCAAACCGTGAAAAAAGTTTGGAGATATCAATGTAGAATTATTAAAACTCAGGGCTAGCAATATACTTAGGAAGTCATCAATTATCTACAATTTTTATTTGATTAAGCAGACTATAGCATACTATTAATTCTATTTCTCTCTCATTTTGTCCTCACCTCAATAAACTCCTCTACTTCCAGTGTCAAGTTCAAGAATTCCCACTAACTTCATACCTTCCTTATCAGTGGGCTTTTTCCATTCCTCAAATATTTGATTCATTTCTTTCCAAGAAAATATTTCCTTTGATTATCATGTATTTTTAAAAAATAACAGGTTTATTATTGAGATAATTCACACATTGTTTTTAAAATGTACAATTCAGTAATTTTTAGTATAGTCAGATTTATATAACTATCACCACTAATTTCAGAACATTTTCATCATGCCAGAAAGAAATCCCATACCCATTAGCACTCACTCCCCAACTCCATCTTCCCCTAAACCCTCAACAACCACTAATCTGTTTTCTGTCTCTATGGATTTGCCTATTCTGGACATTTCATACAAATGGAATTATATAATATTGCCTTCTATGTCTGGCTTCTTTCATTTAGTATTATGTTGTCAAGGTTCATCCATGTTGTAGCATATATTACTGCTTAATTTCTTTTTTATGAACAAAAACATTCCATTGTATGGATATACCATATTTTTGTTTATCCATTTATCGGGTGATGGACATTTGGGCTGTTTCCATTTTTGGCTACTATGAATAATATACTGCTAAGAACACCCGAATACAAGTATTTGGATATATTTTTAATTCTTACAGATTAAAAGAATTTCTGGGTCATACGGTAATTTTATATTTAAACTCTTGAGGAACTGCCAACACTTGTTTTTGTCTGTCTTTTTATTTTAGCCATCATAGAGGGTATGAAGTGGTATTTCATTGTGGTTTTGGTTAGCATTTCCCTATTGACTAATAAGGTTGAATACCTTTTTATGTACTTCTTGGTCATTTGTGATGACCAAGGTCATTTCTTTGATGAAATGTCTATTCAAATTTTTTGCCCCTTTTGGGCAATAAATTGGGTTATTTGTCTTTTTATTGTTGAGTTGTCTAGACAAAAATTCTTTATCAAATACATGATTTACAAACATTTTCTCTCATATTATGGGTTATTTTTTCACTTACTTGACGTCTTTTGAAACACAAAAGTTTTTAATGTTGATGAAATCTGATTTACCTAATTTATCTATTTTTTTTTGGCATTTGTGCTTTTGGTTCCACATCTAAGAAAGTATTGCATAAAGGTCTTCAGTATGAATACAGGAAATTTATTTTCTTATTCTACATTATTAAATTTTATATACATATAAACAAACATACCCACATCTCGCAAAACAATTAAAAACTCAGATTCTGGTAGTCCATAGGCATTAGATGGCTCTTCTAAAACAGTGTATAAACTCCCACATGGACAAAATTCCATAATAAGTACTTTATGTCTTGTTGTTGTCTGAAAAAAAAATCACTGATTAGGAATCAACATAAAAATATGTTTTGATTATATGCTAGTACTTACTTGATTTCATTTAAATGTAGGATTTGCTACAATGATGTAGGCACTTTAATTGCTTCACCTGAGATTCAGTAAATATCTGTTGACTACACACATATAAAAATTAACATCTCCTAATTCCTATTAAGTGAGTAAGCTGGATTTGTTTTTGAAGACAAACCACAGTAAAAACTGGCTAAATGTGAACTATAAAATCATTGCTACAATGTTATAATGGTTCTGTTAAAATTATCTTTAATTTCTTATGCATAATAGTGCATTTAGGACAACAGCTCTTCTAACAAATGTCTTGAACAATTAAAATTTTTCTTACGACAGCACTTTACTTCAAGGAATGGAGTCCTAGTCTTAAAAACAAATGAGCGGCAGAACAGCTGAGTGGTTCCTCTTAAATCAAAGTTCCAGTCTGCTCATGTGCATCTGAACAGCTGATTTGTTTTAAACCATAATTGTTTTTTTCTTCAGACAGAGTCTTGCTCTGTTGCCAGGGTTAGAGTGCAGTGTTGTCATCATAGCTAACTGCAACCTCCAACTCCTGGGCTCAAGCGATTCTCCTGTCTCAGCCTCCTGAGTAGCTGGGACTACAGTCATGTCCCACCACTCCCAGCTAATTAAAAAAATTTTTTTAGAGATAGGATTCTCACTATGTTGCTCTTGAACTGGGCAGGAGCGATCTTCTCAGGCGATCTTCTTAGCCTAAATTGCTGGGATTACAGGCGTGAGCCACTGCGCCTGGCTCTGATAGGGTCTTTAGAACACATCCTATCAGTTCTGACCTTCAGAGGAAATGGAGACTAAAGGAATTAGCCTGAATCTCTGGGAGGGGCTGGAGACTAAATGTTAGCCATGGAGGCGATAAATGGTCAAGCCCCAGTAAAAACCCTGGACACTAAAGGAGTGAGGTTCCTCGATTGCCAGTACTCCATGTGTACTATCATACATCAATGCCAGGATGGTAGGTTAGATGTCCCTGAGGACAAGGAAGCTCCAGGTATGGAACACTCCCCATATTCTACCCTCTGTGTCTCTTCCTTTGGCTGGTTCTAATTTGTATTCTTAATAATAATTTGTATTCTATAATAAAACTGTACTTATCAGTATAGGGATTTTCTGAGTTCTGTGAGTCATTCTACATTCTAGCAAATTATCAAATCTGAGAGTGTCATGGGAAACCCCAAATTTGTAGCCAGCTGGTATGCAGTGAGGGCAGTCTTGTGGAGACTGTTTTCTCTGTGCAATTTGCCAAATTCCTTTGCAACTGGTATCAGAAGTCTTGTGCAGACTTGGCAGTCTGGAAGGCTATATGCTCTTAACCATGAGTTTGGCTGACTCCAGGTAACTATGCATCACTCATTCTAACTTATTCAACCATTCTTTATTATAAGCAGGGCACCAATTAACATCTTTATATATAAAACTATAATTTACATTTATGATTGGTTTCTAAGAAATAATCACTCAAAATGAAATCACTAAGGACTATAAACTACTATACCAAATTGTTTTTCAAAAGGATAATTTTATTGATTACTCATGTCTAAAGGGGTTAAATTTCTATTACCATTATTTCTAGATTATTTTTCCTAATGACATTCTTACTTTTACTATTTCACCCTAAAATCAATTCTTTAATACTTGGACTTCATATCTTAATCTCTGGATTCCTAGGATTTCTACTGTTTCACAAAGGCTTTTTTGTATTATTTGACTTTCTTCTTTTATAATTATGCCAATTTAATTTTTGATAGCTTTTTTCTTTGTAGTAATAACACTGGTAACTATATGCTATACCCTTTTACTTCTTATAGTATTTTTTTATGATTCCATTTTTATGATACTTTACTTCTGTTGTTATATTTATCCAAGAATCTTTTGGGATAGAATATTTGATTTATGAACCCTAATTTTCACCAGTTTTTTTAACCTATTTTTAATATTATCTCCTGTATCTCCCGAATCACAATAACTACAATAAACATGATGACAAGATTAAATAAAGCATGACTACTTACCTCTTCTTCAATAGCAAATAATTTGACGATATTTTTGTGATTGAGTTTTTTTAACACTTCAAATTCTCTCATTTGAACATCCACTGGACGAAGAAAACTTATATTATTAAATACTTTGATAGCAAATAAATCACCAGTTTTCTAAAAAAAACAAAAAGAGAGACATGTTTTATTTATTTATAATATCGTAAAGAAGATAAAAAGGTACCATTAGAACTAGCTATAGCAATCTGTCTTTCTTAAAGAACACTACGTATCTTTTAGATGTAGGTAATTTGTACTAGGACTCCTGACTTTTTTTAAAAGTTAAAATGAATCAATCAACTGCTCAATATTTTTCAAATTGTACATTTTAGAATTTAGAGAAGGATATTTTCTTTCATATTATAAATAAAGCTTAATTATGACACACTAGTGGCACAGATAGTCACACATTAGAAGATAAAAGCTATAATGGTATCAAAAATGAAATCACCTTTTGGATAAGAAATAGAAAGTGAAACTCACAAAGGTTTCTCCAAGTCCTAACAATTTTTAAATAATCAAAACAGGAAGAGAGACACTGAAATCTATATTTCACCTATGAAATTTTTATTAGAGTATCAAAGTAATGCAATTAACTTTTCAAAAATATTTCCTAGCTACCACAATGTGTGTGGGAGGCAGGGGAGCAGGAGTTGGAGAGTGAGGCTGAAGTAGACTTCCTGGTTGGATTACACCACTGCTGCCCAGGAAAGTGTCTGCAACTCCACCTAGATGACTAGCGCAGGTTGTTCCTTCACAGGCCCTCTCTAGAGGATCAGACGCATTTCCTCTTCTCTACTGATGCACCCACAGCACCCCACTCTCACTCTTTCATGGTCTATTGAAGTAGATCACACACAGAATTACAACACACAGCTGTATGTAGTTGGGAGGGAATCTTAGATGTACAAAATACATGCTTAAATTTCAGGCAAACGTCACATTTTTATGTTCTTCATATTAACCTTTAAGACATTTCTAGACCCCCCTCAACTACCTTCCAATCACTCCAATTAGCATGGCTCTCTCTGGTGGCCAGTCCAGATTCTGAGTGCAGCCTTACTTTCTCACCCATTTATCCAAGGTTGAACTTCCCCAGAGCAAATGGGAAATCATTTTTCTCTTTAAGCCCGGGGTTCAAGCACTCCCTGACATTTCATGGCCTTCTGTCAGGACCTCTGTACTGTTCCTGCTTTGGAGCCCTCTCAGTACTTTTCCACTCAAATTTACCACTTTGAGCCAGCATCCTCCTCTCACCCCATTATAGAATGATCTTTTTTGTAAAACCATTTAATAGCTCCATAATCCCACCCCTTAAGATCACTATTTGAAGACACCGGTTGTGTGTTCTCCCTCACTCCAGTCACACCAAATACACAAACAGACATTTCTTTCTGGAAGAAAATGAAAGAGGAAAAGAGCCAATGACCATTTTCAGATATAGGAAAAGAGAACAACAATTTACCTAAAGTTCAATTCCACCATTTTTCCACTTGTTTAGCCAGGGTAAAGACACTGGCAAATCTATGTATCACCCAACACAGAGATTTTTCATAAGGATATTTGTCTCAAACTCAGTCTAAAATAAGGAGAATCATAACAGAGACGCAAGCGTGGAAAGTAATAAAATGTTGCAATGTACCCACTGTGATCAAGGCCAGTATCTTCCAAATTTTTGTAGTGCACATCATACCAGTGAGATTAATGGGATATGTGTGGGAATATATTTTCCCTCTATTCACCTGCACAGTCATCTGTCATTCACTGCCACTAATTCAAAGCATATACAGATAATATTTAGAGATCTACATATACACATATACACATATGTACAGATCAACACATCCTTTCTACAATGATTTTCCCTTCAACTTTACCATGGTTATCACACACGTATACATATACCACCACCCCATGCACTTTAATAGCTAAAAGCAATTTAATGAAAAAGAGACAGATTAAATAGGTAAGATACTTTGAATAACAAGTAGTAAACTTAAGAACGTGGTCATTCTAAGCAATAACATAAAGAGGCTAAAGGGCTAATAATATAATGGTTAAAAATCCTTTAAATGGTTAAAGGGAAGCAGGATATTTTGGGGTATAGTCCTAAACACTTGAAATAGATGTCACTAAGAAAAAACATGGTTTCTGAGAAGACTGCTAAGGCACTAAATACTGAACTGTGCCTTGGCAATCTTTTAAGTCAATTCTTATACCTCCCAAATCCTTATTTTAGGTTTCCATACTATATTACATAGAGTACATCTTTGTTTCCTTTGAAGAACTTCAGGTTGTCTTAGGGTAGTTTAATCTGTCCTCACTCATTCACTCATTCTTTCATTCAACAAACATTTACAGAGTGCCTACCATGTGCGGGCACTTACATGAAGGTCCCTGAGTATCTCAGTAAGGAAAGAGGAAAAGAATATGTGAAATCACTACTAGTGCTAGGCGCGTTAAATGTCTCATGCAATCTCTATCACTACTGGCTACCTGTCAGCCCATCAGTTTCCAACTTAAACACTTTCTAATACCATCTTGCTACTAAACTTGAAATTCTTTATGTGCAGGGACTGCACATTAGCTGCACTAGGTCCACCACAGCACCTGATGCATACCAAGTGATTAGTAAAATTTGTTAATTCAGACTACAGGAAGACAGACTGTCAGATGTGTTCTCAGTGCTAAATCCTATGTCACCACCCATTTTCTCTTCTTACCACAAAACAAAAACAATTTCTAGGAAAGGAGTATCTAAAATTGATCGCAATGAACTTGAATGAGAATCCAGAGCCCAAGGAAAATTCTGGAAAGGGGGGAAAAGCTAACAGTTGTCTGCATGGTACTTCTGATTCATTCGCTACAAGCCATAGAGGCTGTTTATAGTCACAGTCCCAGAGGAAATGGCCCTTCCCCCACGCGTGCTTATCTCATTGCCACTGACAGAACTGACTGGCAATCTCAAGGCTATAGGAAAAAGGGAAGAAACTCCTCCCTACTAAAATGTTTAAAGCCTCTGTTTCTGAAAATAAGAATTTAAAGGAGGCTCCAAACATCATTTAGTTCATAACAAATTCATAGCACTGAAAAATCAGTGATTATTTGCATTATGAAAGGATTTTTACTCCATTATTTTTCCAGCTTCTTTCCCAGGATAGAAACTTTAATTATCTTCGATTTCTTCATTTTAAATTATTTTAATTATCTTTCATTTCATCCTCCAATATCGAATCTGACACAAAATCCTTTTCGTTCTTTTTTTTTTCTGAGACACAGTCTTGCTTTGTTGCCCGGGCTAGAGTGAGTGCCATGGTGTCAGCCTAGCTCACAGCAACCTCAAACTCCTGGGCTCAAGCAATCCTTCTGCCTCAGCCTCCCGAGTAGCTGGGACTACAGGCATGCGCCACCATGCCCGGCTAATTTTTTTATATATTTTTAGTTGTCCAATTAATTTCTTTTTTTTTTTAGTAGAGACGGGGTCTCGCTCTTGCTCAGGCTGGTCTCGAATTCCTGAGCTCAAATGATCCGCCCGCCTCGGCCTCCCAGAGTGCTAGGATTACAGGCGTCAGTCACCACGCCCGGCCTCCTTTCCGTTCTTGAAGTACCTTTGGGATTAGCTCTTTTATTCTATTTCCGTTTCCAGGTTCTGATTATCTCATACCAGGATATATAGCCTTTAAATATGGGCTCCTTGTTGAGAATCTCATTTTACTCCAATCTCCCTTATAGCAGGGGCACAAACCCTAGCAAGACATCAGAATTACCTGCGGGTTCCCCTCCAAACTACACAACCACCTCCATACCATCCAAAATGCCTTCCTCCATCACAAATCACTGCTACCCTGAACTTCTATTAGTGAGATCAACCACTGCCATAGGGGAGCTGGGTTGGGGAAAGAATCAAAAGGAAAACTAATCTTTCCCAGTCTCTTTTCAACTAACCTTCTGTTTTTCTCCACTCCCTAACACACAGCCTCTGCCACCATGGGGTAGATATGTTCACCCCTAACATAAGCTATTCCTTAAATAACTACAAAAATCATAAAAGAAAAATTTCTTTAGACAAAAGAATCAAAATTACCAAGTCACACACTTTAATACAAGTGTGCCTCTCAGAAGAGAATATAAGCAGTGATAAAAAGCCTTTCCAGTTTTCTCTGTACTAACCTTATGTCTTCCACGAAAGACATTTGCAGTAGCTCCTTGGCCTAAAATATCAGATAAAAGCCACAGATGATTAGAAGTGCTCTGCATCTCGGCTTGGTCAGGCGATCCTCTTGTTATACTAAGAGAAAAGAAAAGATTTGCACATGCTTTTAGGGACTAATACAGTTAAGAAGCATATGTTAGCTATTTTTAGTCTCAAGTAAGATCACCCATTATTGATTGTTAAATTGAAGTGCACAAAGAGTTCAATGTAAAAATCTAGGTTTCTAGCAATATAAAAGGCTAAAATGCTGTGTGGGCTCTGAAAAAAACATTAACCAATGACATCTTACATATTCAATTTAATTCACTTATCACAAGGGCTGACAGAAACAACTACATCCTTTTTAAATTTGTCTTTGTCAATGAGAGTGATATTGGCTATTTACCTCCTTCCAGTGTTTTGAAACATTAATTAATGATAAATTATATTTTAAAGTGTTTTCAAATAAAGAAAAGTAATAATGTAAAATGTAACAGAAATATAGAAAAAATTACTTTGTCTCCTTCAAGGGCAGGGCAACACTGATGAAAACAACTGTTGCCACTATATAACATTTCTATAATCTAAAATTTAATCTGCTGGGCTAGGTGGCTCACTGGACGCGGTGGCTCACGCCTGTAATCCTAGCACTCTGAGAGGCTGAGACAGGAGGATAGCTTGAGGTCAGGAGTTCAAGACCAGCCTGAGCAAGAGTGAGACCCCCATATCTACTAAAAATAGAAAAATTAGCTGGGCATTGTGGCATGCACCTGTAACCCCAGCTACTTGGTTGGGGGGCTGAGGCAGGAGAATCACTTGAGCCCAGGAGTTTGAGGTTGCTGTGAGCTTGGCTGATGCCACAGTGCTCTAGCCCAGGTGACAGAGTGGGACTCCACCTCAAAAAAAAGTAAAAAAATTTCATCTACATGGAGTCTGACAATCATAATGGAAAGATGAAAAAATTATTGTTCTGAAAAGTTACTCTTTTGAAATCGATTTAAGCATAGTTTCTCCAAACTTCAAGTATAAAAATAAAAACATATCAAGTAGTCTATATTACCAAGTCTTAAAACATAAGCATCACCACTATCTTTGTCCTTTTATAACGAAAAACTATGGATCTATAAAGATATTAAAAATATTTGAGCTCCACATTGCAATAAAAATGAGGTATGCTAACAAAGCATACACACTAGTCACACCACGCTCCCTTAAACCTGCTGTAACATCAGATCAAAACATAGATTTTAATATCCCTTCACAGTAAATAAGCATAAGAAGCACTATACTGGATGAAGTATTCTGTGATAAATTAATGACTGTCAATATCTCAAGTAGGGTTAAGAACATACAGAATGGATGAGGTCTTTTACCAATCTCTAGTATACTAGGGTATCTTTATATCACTTTACCACCCATCTAACTCAGATAAGGAATTTTATATACAGCAATTAATTGGAAATAAGCAAAAATAAGGTTCGCTTTTCACAAATAAGAACATACATTTGTCAGTTATTACATTCCATTCAAGAGGTGGTAATAATCTTCTCAAATATCGAATGAAAAACCTTTCCTATTTAATGTAACTTTGCTGTTTCAGGTAACCGTAAATGGCATATAGTACCATTAGGTACCTATATGTACCTCAGGATAATACAAAATAGATTCATCAACTAAAATATCCGCTCTCTATATGCAGATACAAAAATATGGTTTCATAATAGTGATCACAATGGTAGTCAGAGGAAATGTCTTTTGAAACTATCTTGCGATAACCCCCCAATAACAGCATGCTGAAACATGACTCAGCATACCCAGAGGGTGCTTGCTATATAAATCTTTCCAGTTTTTCACAAGCTTACAAGCAGGCACTCAACAAGTATGTTACTGATGATGTTGTCTTAAGTCTACTTCCTTGTACCGTCCAAAAGGAAAGTTGCCATTTGTTCAAGGATGAAAACAAGTTTGGTGACACGGCCTATGGACAAAGTTCCAGGATTTCCAAACTCTATCACTATGTGAACCATGTATAGTAAATAGATATATTAGGGGTTCCACAGTGAAAAAGGCTGGTCTTTGGTTATACATTTGACAATTAGGAGAAATTATTTTGTGGCCACCTACTAAATAATACCTGGGATATAGATTAGAAAATAACCCCATAAGCCAGGTTGACGAGGACCAAAGAAACGTGTGGGAATTTGCATTTCGTCTGTATACATTAAAAACATCTTATGCTTCTAGCTTCCGGTGTGAGTCAACCTCAGCTGTTAACATCACTGAACTCTAGTGAAACGTCTCTTTTTAGTCCTCTGGAAATCAATCCATTTAAAAACTGCCAATCGTGTCAACGCGCGGAAAGAGCGGTAGAAAACGGCAAGTCTAAGTCCAAGGGAAAGAAGCACCTCTTCTTCCCCGGGCAGCCAGGCCCAGACCCGCTAACTGAGTCGCCCTCTTCGTGCCCAATGCAGCCGGACCAGGGAGGGCCCCGGGCTCCAGGTCAGAGGGCCGGCCGCGGAGCAAGGAGTCGAGACGGAGGGAACAGGGCCCTTGCGACCATGCCACACGGCTTCGGACGCCCCAGACACCCAAGAGTCGGTGCCCGCGTAGCCAGGGTCCGGGGATAGCTCAGCCGCGGGTCGTGCGGGGCGTCTTAGGTCGCCCGCCCCGCCCCCGCCCTGACTCAGCATCCCAGCCTCCCACAGAGGGAGGGAGGGCTCCGCTCGAGGCTGCGCAAGGCCCCACCGCCCGCGCCCCGCGCGGCCTGGCCCTCCGCCCCACTCACCCAGCCGGGTCTCCGCCGCGCCACCGCCAGCGGGCTCCCGCGGCCTCCTCGCGCCCCAGGACACTTCCGGTTTCGGGAAGCGCTGGCCAGGGGCCACGTGACCGACGGCCGGCGCGCGGATGCGCGTGCGCACGCCTGCAGCCCGTCTGGTCGCCGCTACCGCCGCGGCTGCCACTGCCGCTTCCTCTGCTGAGAGCTTCTCCGTCCGCTGTGCCGAGGGGCGAGGAGGGTGGGCATGTCTGGAGACAGGGTTCCTTCCAACCCTGTCTACCCTCCTTACTCTGAGGGCGAATTCCGGGAGCCCTGAGCAGGGAACACGGTAATTCAGATCCCCGCAACTGCAAATCCCACCCTGTGCTCGAGCGCCTGCAGAGGGTGCGGAGCGCGGTAGTAGTCGGGAAGGCGGACGTTGAACTTAGTGCTTACACATAATTACAGGTGGGCAGAATGTGGGACACATGAGAGGAATATTATAGCCTGGAAGGATAAATTTGTATCTATTTTAAGGACCACTTTGGCTGCAGTGGAGCCAGATTATCGTCTCTCAGTAATTCAGACGTGTAATTCTTTCTGTTATGTTCACTTAATTCCTTCTCTGTATTTTGGAAAATGGCAATACTGGAGGAACCTAAGTACTAAATAATTTAGTAACTGTAACTTAAAAATACTAACATTAGGTCCCGCATATTCGTGCAGCCAAGTTCTCAACTGAGCAGCTATTCCCTGGAAATGGGTCCCTTCTGCCCACTGGCAGCACCACGTCAACGTAAGGAGGGACACAGAGACTCCTGCTAACTCATGACTAAATTTCTGAGTGGAGGGAAGGGGTTAAGGAGTGCTTCCCAGAGGAGTACCATGGCAAACACCAATGGATGGGAAACCACGGCAGAGTGGTTAAGAGCAGAGGGTTTTAAATGGAACAGACCTGGGGGGGTTGCAGTCCCAGCTCTCCCTGCCAATCGCTAACCTTAAGTAACTTTCTTACCCCTCTAAGCCTCAGTTTTATCAAATGTACAATGTAAATAACAAAAGTCCACTCTAATGTATTTACAAAGGAAATTATTAGAATTTTAAGCGATGTTTAAGTGATGGAATCATTCTAGCAAATCTATTCACTGCTTACAATTCTGATCAATTTCAGTTCTCTGATATCTAATGACAATGAAGACCTGTCAAAGTTCTTTCCAACAGTAAAACCCACCCCTGAAAGTTGTAGAAGGTGACTGACTAAGCCAAAGGCCTTGATTCACATGTTTATCACGTTAAGTGTACATTAAAATGCCACACAGTATTTTCTTAAAAGGTCAAGCCACTCATGAACCAATTAATGTTAGCATTAAGATTTAAGTAACTGTTAGACACAGGACTAGATCAGGCATCATAAAACCTTGTGGTTCCTTAGTGAAGTTACACAACTTCTTAAGTCTTTTAGCCTTTAACAGATGGGATTCACCCTTGAGACAATTATTTGGGTGCTTTGGAAATAAGATAATTCATGATAGAAGTTTCCTAATTGTGATGGTGCTCTGGGCAACTCTGGTGAATGAACATGAGAATTATTATTCATGATTATATAATAAAGAGTTTAGTTTCTGTGACTCTTAATTTCCATGTCCTGATTTCTCTCCGCTCTGAACACATGAACACATTTTCTAAGCAGCTTTAAAGAGCTAGGGAAGGCCAGGTGTAGTGGCTCACGCCTGTAATCCTAGCACTCTGGGAGGCCGAGGCGGTGGATCGCTCAAGGTCAGGAGTTCGAGACCAGCCTGAGCAAGAGCAAGACCCTCGTCTCTACTAAAAATAGAAAGAAATTATCTGGACAACTAAAAATATATATATAGAAAAAATTAGCCAGGCATTGTGGCACATGCCTGTAGTCCCAGCTACTTGGGAGGCTGAGGCAGGAGGATCGCTTGAGCCCAGGAGTTTGAGGTTGCTGTCAGCTAGGTTGACGCCAGGGCAACAGAGCCAGACTCTGTCTCAAAAAAAAAAAAAAAAAAAAGAGCGAGCTAGGGAAAACACCTTTTCATATATGGAATTAATAGTATAGTAATACATGCTAATACCAAGACTTTATGTGCCAGCCACTGTAACGTCTTTCATGTTTAACTCATTGAATTGTTAATGAGTTACATATGAGGTAGCTACCATTAGTTCCCCCATTTTATAGACAGGGAAACTGAGACAGGAAGTTGTTAACTTGCCCAAGGTTCTAAAACCAGTTACTGTGAGAACTGGTATTTGACTCTAGGTCTGGAGCCTGTGCCACATAAACTCTTAACCACTATGCTATGTTACTCAGTATTCTTTGAATTATTGCTATTGCAATAGATGATACAATGATCACTCCCATTCCACAGGGGAACCTATCAAAGAAACACCCAACTTTCACTTAAGTATTTCTAAAAACATTTTTATTGACGTATAATATATACATTCCACTGATCTGTTTTTACCATTAACCATCAATTTGGTAAAGTACTTTTATTCCATGATGTAAGAAAAACATTTAAAATTTCTTCTGAATTAAACCCAGAAAAAGATTCACGTGTACAATTTAGAATACAATTTTAGGGAGTTTATAAGCCGCTGAAACCCATCCATGAAACCCCTAGGAGACGCACAAAACAAACAAACAGACCCTTCCTGAAAATCTTAATTGGGCTTTTGGAATTTAAACTTAAATGTCTGTAGTAATTCTGCTCTCCAGTTTTGTCCCTCCTCTCAGGATTTTCCAAGGCTACTACTGATACTATTATTTTTCCTTTTGCTTTCTCAAGTAGCCATGAATAAAAATGGAAGGCAGCAGGGGTAAGTACTAATTAAATGGTCAGCTACCATTTATAAATATCATAAACACACACAGGTACACTGTGCTCTAAGTACATCCAATAAAAGAGTGAGGAAAAGAATTGGGATTTTAATTCTATCAACAGATTCACATAGGCTTTTTCTAGTACATTTTTAAAAGACTTAAATAACAGAACTAAGTTACATGTAACCTTTCAGGAGCAAAATTAAATGAAATAAAGCATCCATATACTCGCATTTGCAAACCTTTAAATGGGACATGAAGGAGAGATTAAGATGAGAAAATAAGGCTAAAGTATTTATAATAATTCCAGAAACGACTTGGTAGATTTCACTACATAAAATTTATTTTTATAAAAAATGTGTAACACTGGCACCTACTTTTAAATCAATTAATTTATGAAACCATTCTCTTTTGTAGAATCCACATTGGCATTGTAATAGTTTAAGGAAACGTAATGGCTATCTACAAAAAATTAGTTTTTATTGTTGTATCCCCCCATACTTTATGTGTTTGCACACATAAAAGAAAATTAAAATTTTCAAACATTTTATATTCAGCAATTTTTTAAAAAGTACACTGTTTTCCACGGCTATAATCTTTATAAAGGACTTGACTTAAAGTTTCAAATAAAAAAAATTAAGGTACTAAGATAACCGCTGTGTCTTTTAACAGCATTTTTATATAGAACAATTTGAGTTGGCATGCACACAACTTTTCTTGTTGTCACACACCTGTATTTAGGGAAAATTATACCCATTTTACATAAAAATCCCAATACATATACTGTAATAAGCTCAAAACAATGCTAAAAAGACCAGTGTGAATGGCACACAAAAATCACTTCTTTATAAATTATTAACTGGAATTCCTGATCATGAAGTAGGCACAGGGAGATCCAGTCTTTAGGGCTTTGCTCTCTGGAAGAACACCTGTAAAAAAAGTATTAGTACAATCAATACTAATGTCTGAAGACAATCACCTCTTTCACCTGAAGAGTGGCTCAAAGTTTCTGAATGTTAGTCACTCTTTTTTTTACAATAGATATTTAAAACATTTCACACACTTCATAAATCCACACATAATCGAAGATAATAACTTTCTCTTCTGGAGAATTTGGTAAAGTCTAGATGTAACTTATGCTGACATCACCCAAATGGAAAAGTAGTGAAAATATGGTATTATCTCTAATGCCAGGAGAGTCGAGTGGGCAGAAGAAAACATGCTCTTGACACCTTTTTACTGATTGGTACCTATGTCAAAATTAACACTGGGGAAATTAAACTTCGAGGAAGAAATAAGTCAAAGCTAAAGACAGCAATTCTAATCCCTTAAGGAATTTACTATTTATTTTGATGATTCAGAAGTACTCCCAGTCAATATTTGAGACCACGATAAAGGAGCTAGCTAGAGACTGTGCTAGGCATGGCCCAGTACTACGCACTGCCATCCACAGCTAGGTACAGGTCAAGTAAGTACTAGACATAGTACATGGTAGGCAGTGTGCTCAGTATGGACAAGGACTCTGCCTATCATTGTGTCCCTAGCACCTAGGAGATTCATTTAACACATGATCAATCAACTAAGTGCAGAGAAAAGAACGATCATTATATGAGTAAAAGAAAGCCTTACAAGGAGGCCATGCTTAAGGCAAGCCTAGAAGAATGAGTAGAATTCATACATGAGATGGGTTGCTAATAAGGCAGGATTTTTGAAGAACCACAAGAATAGCAAAGACCATTCCTGCAAGAGAAACCAGAAAGGTAGTCCAGGATCAGAATATGGAAGAAAAAAAAGTGTCAAATTAAGAAACATGAACTTGTTTTTAGTAAATACAAGGTTTAGGAAGGTTATGAGAAAGAGGAATAAATTTCAAAGGACTGTTTGATGTTTTCAAACAGATCAGCCTGGCTAGAACAAGCAAAGGGAGATCACAGTGAGATAACATAAGCCTATACCAGAGCAGCAACAGCAGCAGAGACAGAAAGGAAGAGAGGAAGAGGAAAGGATCAGCGAGATCTGAGGATCAAGCAGATATGAAAGGAGGAGTGGACACAAAAGAATGAACTTCATTTTTTCCAACCACAAGAATAATGTTAACACTGAGATAATGAGATCACTAAGATAATGCCATCACTGAAGAGAAGCTGGACTTGAGAGAAGAATTTTTATAAATGCTGTGCCGATGAGTTAATACATTTGGAGCACAAATCTTCTACAATGTACCTACACCTACTGTTACAGACACCTCTAAATAGAGTTAAGATATTTTGAGTCCTTTAATCTGGTTTGAGTGATCAGCTATTTAACG